CACACACACACACACACACACACACACAGACACAGACACCCGTGCACAAATACTGAACACCTCTCCCCACACTTTTTTTTTATAACATATGCACACACACACTGAAATGTGTGCACGCTGACTGTTCTATCAGACAGCTGCTCATGCAGGCCTGCTCACCACTGGGATTTCCCTGTATTGTGTATGATATAATGATATTATTCCCTCTATTTGCTGGGTAGTTAGGCACCATGCCAGGTGGCTCACTTATGAAATTGGGGTAAAAGCATGATGTTATTTCAGGATACAAAACAGCGATGGAGTGGGCCTGACAGAAAGCCTGACTTGGACTCTACTTGATTCTGCCTCTGGCTTCGTCTCCTCCTCCGTCCTCTGTCATCCCATTCACTTTTCTCCTCCTGAGGTTCTTGCATCTAAATGTTCTTTATATGATGGTCCCACACTCGCAAACAATCACTTTCATAGCACTACACCCGCATTTATAAACCCTGCACCGCAGTGCAAATCAGGAAGTTGCTGGACAATGGTGGTGGCCCCCTCCAATCCGCAGGCAGTAAAACGATAGCATAGCAGTCTCTGATTCTATTCTCTGCTGTCTGCCGCTTTACAGTCTGTCAGCCTGTTAGGAGCTGTGCAGTTCAAAGCTCAGACCGGAACCCTCCAATGCTATTTCCAGCTCTTTTCTGAAAACCCGCTATTGTGGAGGTATAATTACAGGCCTATACACTGTGCTTAATTCTCAAACAATAGGGTGTACTTTTACACAAGGACATGAAATTACTCTCCATTCAGAACATGTTTGACTAGACAACAGGGCTCTTCATGTTCAGAGGACATTTATGCTGCTGTAACAATGCTTTGTAAAAAAACAAACTACAAATCTCCTTTTCTTCCCTCCCATTCCAAACCATGACTCAGATCTATCTATCTATCTGTCTATCTGTCTATCTGTCTATCTATCTATCTATCTATCTGTCTATCTGTCTATCTATCTGATTCAACTTTATCTATTTTCCTCCTTTTTTTCCAATCATTTTTTCTTCCTTTTTCTCACTTTCTTTCATGGAACAAGTCAAAGTTCCCTTGTTAATTAATTAGCATGAGTAACCTTCCCTTTTCTCTTTCGGTGTTATTCTCTTTCTTTCCTCTGTTTTTTCTTCTCCTCCGGCTCTGTTGTTCCTCAGTGGTCGTAGCCCATGTGTCTGACAGTGATGCTTCTGTTCCTCCTTTCACCATTGGCCTCCTCCTTCTCCAAACGGCACCCGGCTCCTGACTCCTAATTGGTGGAAAAGCTCAAGCAGCATCTGGTTCTGCTGACTGTCTTTGTCGACGGCGGCGGTTATCCAGGCGTTTGACAGCTGGTTGCCATAACGTCATCACCTTGGCGACAGACCGGACTCTGGCACTGTTCTGGAGTACCTGCCACTCAGCATTACTAGCCGCCCTCACAGAAGAGACGGGGCATTTCACGAATCCAAGAAATGAGGCAGTTTCAGAGTCAAATTTGATAATGAGCTTATTTCAGCCCCCACCACGACACACCACAGCAAACAGCCCTTCCTGCTCCCCATGACTAACCCCAGCCTCTGGGAAAAGAGCTAATATTTTAGTGGATGAATTATATGGCCTGTTAACTTTAAAAGATTTTGTCAACAGTGCGTAGTGTCACTATGCTGTTTGATTTCTCCAGTTGTCGCTGTAGAATCCCTTCTTTACTAACGATTGGGAAAAAAAGAGACATTGTTGACCTCAAAAAGGGAATGGAGGGGAATTAAGTCTTTGGGAATTCTCTCTTTTTCCCTCGTCTCATTTTCAAACCCCTGATCTCTAGTCTTCTCCTCATGCCTCCGCACTCCTGGTTCCCCCATGGCCACATCCATGGAATCCATAAATACTCATTTGCGTTGGCCTTTAGCACAAGATACTGCTGCAACTCCGGCAACTGATAGTCGTTGTTATATAGCAACAATTACAATGTGTGATGCTTTTGTGCGCTGAAATACCAATTACAGTGTTGAGTTATTTATTTAGACAATGGAATTACATTAATCTTTATGTCTGCGAGGGAAATGTGCCAGCTGTCCTGGTGGTGGGAATATGTTGGTGAAACAGCTCATCATGGGGATGCCATTGATTTGGGTTTGAGGGATTGTTCAGCAATTTAAAAAAAAACTGTTAAAGCTCGATTATTTATTTGAATCGAACGAATATAACTAAGAGTTAGAATTATAATATATAAATATATTGAGCAGGATGTGATTTAAAAATTGATCAAATTCAAATTCAGGTACACGTTCATATTAACCTTAAACCTCCAATGATTAATTATTGATGGACACACATCATTTATACCAGGATTGTCAGGAGTTAGACAAACACACACACATCAGAATAACTTTGCTGAAATAAAATAAACATGCATCTTGATTCCTTGCAAGACGGCACTCAGTTCCGCACATCACATCATATTTGCTGCAATTTCATATCCACGCATGAGCAAACACAGCGGTGGCCGTGCAGGAGAGGAGGCGGCAACGGAGCAAACAGCATGAGGGCACCGTGTTCAAACCTGTGGTGACCAGTGGCTCCTGCCTGTCCGTGGCCTGCACAGCCTCGCGTCTGCTCCGGCCGCTCAATGCAGGTATTCACAAACAGGATTCCATCTAAACCGAATGGACACAGTGACTCTTCTAGGTAAATAGTCGGCGGTGCTAAAATCTAAAACCGTGTAGCCTCTTTTTTCTCTCTGACTATTTCTCTCTCTCAGTTTCTGGCGCTCCCTGGCTTTGTTTCCCTGGTGCAGCCTTTGCCAGCCTAAAAATGAAAATGAGCATGTTGTTTAACAGACCTCACAACTCACATCTTGGAATTAAGAGCTCCCAGTCAGTAATAAATGCGAATGCTGTGTTGGCACTATTTCCTTTCGAGCAAAAGAACTAATGATGATTTGGGGGGAGGTTTACTTCAAATCACGTTTATAAAAAGATTAATGGAATGACATTAAATTGTAAAAAAAAAAAAGTACAAACATGTCAAGCAGTGGAGTAATTTCCCATCCTTTATTGTTGAATTGTGTAATTATTGTTCTTCATTTAGTTACTCACCTAAGCTGCAGTGGTAGCTGGGGGAGACTTGATGATTTGGCATATCTCTTGGCAGAAACAAAAGGCAAACATGGGGCTTCAGAAAGAGGCAGACAGCTCATGAGAGAACAAACCACACCACAGAGAGAGAAATCAAACCTAAGCACAGCCTTCTGAAACCAGACAGCCCTATCTCCCAGCATCCCTTGGCTCAGGCTGTTTCTACTTATTGTTTACTTGGTTGTTTGACTGATTCACTGGTTCACTGGTTTAAACCCAGACTGGGAGTGACATGATCTGAAATTACATGTTTCAGGCTTTCAGGGAGTCATTGTCTGTACGCAGAACTTTGTTTCAACACCGTTCTGGTATGTTTTTATTAACCAGCGTTGCTTTGTTCCCATACAAAAGGTAGAACTGTGAATACACAGGCGAGCAAACACCTGTATTTACATGACAACTTAGCTTGATTTATCAACTGTGAGGTGCATGACAACAGTTTGCACATGAGCCTCTACATGTTGACTGTGATTCAATCACTATTATAAATCATTATCAAAAATGACGTAACTCTATTTTTATGACAATTTGAATAGATGAAATTAAATAACAATTTAAAAATCAAACATTTCCCAGAATTATTTCTCTGAGTTTATTAAGATTGTAAAAGTAGGCAGAGTGTGTGTTATAGTTTTGAAGTGTATGGAAATTATGTGTGAAATTATAGAAATGTCCGTAGTTCATTATTTCACAAATCATGTGTTGTGTCACATATCAACATCAATAATGATAACAGTAATAGCGTCATTCAGCAACGGCTTCATATCAATAATATATATATAAATACCTTAGAGGGGGAGCCAATACATTTAAAAATCCAGTAGAAATTATGAAAATGAGTACGTTTTTATTTAGTGGAACAGGTGTTCTTTTCTTACTGAGGTGGCTCTTGATGGCACTTAATGCAAAATCTTTGGATCTTAGGTCTAGAAAATTCTCCCTGACGGGCCTGTAAAAGTAGAGCGATGTGCTCAGCATGTTTGGTAAGAAGACAACAAGAAGCTCCTGCATTTTGAAACATCTGAATGTGTTTTTAAGAGTTCTTCAGGAGACTTGAGAGCATGAAAGTCAAGTCTTCTAGAAATAAAACCTTCTTTAAGTCTCTCAATTTCTTCCTTTAAAAAACAAAGGCAGGAAATATTTTTTTAATGGGAAAATACATTATTTATTTGAGATCCAAGGATCAGGTCACAATCTAAGACATCAGTGTTTCATTATCTGTGTCCACAGATAACAGTTGGAAATGAGGATACAGATCATCCTGGCCCAAGTAAAGGTCATGCAGATGTCTGATCAGGTATGACAATTTACTTACTGAATTATATCATTAACAATTTGGTCTTGTTATCTGTTGCCCAGCCCCCTGGTGTTGTTGTGAGAATGATAATGTTGAAACACTTGGCAGATGTGTTAAACACACGTGATGAAAAACGGACGAGCTGCCAAGTCACCAACAAACGGGCACATATTTGTTTTCTCTCTTTCTTGAAGGTATAAAGGGAAATATAACTGTCACAGTCTAATAGAAAATATCTTTTTACATATCTGTCTTGACTTTGTGTGTACACAGTATATAAGTATAGCAGATCATTGCCTAGGTGGTTTTGCACTGAATTTTAACTTAAGTTTCTAGCATGGCTCTACCTACAAAGATCACTGAGGTCTGTTTTTTCTTCTTTAAAGTAGTGAAATAATTACCTGAAATTAGCTCTACTTTGGTGCTGCAAAGATTTTGTACAATTCCAAGAAAACTGATTTTCTCATTCAATTACCAGCTTCATTTCTTGTGTGAGGGTGAAGTGAAGAATCTTGACATCTTTTACCCAACATGGTGTTTCTTCGATTATGCTAATGCCGCTAAATCAGTTGAAACCAGGTACATTGAGAATTTTACACACCTTTAATCCCTTGTCTGATATAGCTCCTATGTGGTACATAAAACGCACCAACTAATCGACATCCACTCCGTCCATCCAGTTTCAGACGGGAGTTATCAGGGAAATTTGCCTTTGTTTTAATTTGCTTTGTGAACAGGTGTCAAATGCAACCACAAGATGAACTGACCCCTTTTTTAAAAAAATTTCTTGGACACATGCGGAAATGAAAAGCTCATCTTTGAGAAAGGAACAGATATGGTACAAGATGAGGGAATAGAAAAAAGAGGGTGAGATGAAGGTGATGGAGAAGAGAGAGGAAGACCAGGAAAAGTCCACTGGACCCAGGAGAAGATCAATATTATGTCAAATAGAAAGTGACTGACATGATCACATTCAAATAATTAGCACAGACAAACACACAATGGCATAATTATAGTGTTATGACATCGTATACTATTAAATGAAACACATTTACCCTGTTTTCATGTGCTGCTTAAGAGACATTTCTATAATTCCTGCTGGCAATGGATTTACAATGATTGTTATCCAATCTAAGTAAATCAGATAAATATTTCTTTCAGTCTTCATCTGAAGTAGGAGTGGATGGAGAGCTCAATTTGGTTTTTTTGTTCATTATTCCTAATAAACTGAGCCAGAGTAAAACCGCTTAGTTCAGGTACAATTTACCACATTTTACAGCTGGATTCTTTCTGAAGAACCCAAAAGGAGTAATGTGACATTTTTCTATATTGCAGACTTTTGGAACAGGCTCTCAGTTCTCATGAAACATTATCAAGCTGATAAGACAGCCTGAAGTATGTTGGTTGAACTGTTGAAGAGGAACCAGGTTCTCCAGGGTCCCAAAGAATGTTAGTGTTTATAGTAAAATAACTGATGTTGTATTTCAAGTATTTTTATGTAAACCTAAAGACTGGCAGGAATGTAATTGATATTAACTCAAATATTTTTCATTAGCCTTTCTCTGTGATTTATTGGCTATGACATAAGTAGCGACTGGTGTGTTTTTGCAGGAACCTCAGCGTCGTCTGGCTAAGGCAAGCAGTGGTCTACAGGCTTTCCACATTTATCGAGCATAATTGCCGCTTAAAGTCTTAAATTATTTATTATTGTGAGATCTGACAGTGCTGCTCAGAAGCAAATTGGGATCATCTTCCATGACCACCAAGGATTTACAGATTGGAGGCAGAACTAAGTTTATTTCCTCCGCTCTGCTTTTATCCCTGCAAACGAAGCGTTTAAAAGGATCACCCGCGACAGATAACCACGTTACTGTACAGACGAATAACGCCGCTGCTCTTAAGATCCTGATTTTGTCTGTGGATTTTTTTTCTCTCCCTCTTTCCTTCACCCCAGTCTAATTGTGCTGATGCTCTCCCTGTGGGTTTTAATGTTTGACACGGCGAAACGCTCTTAAATCCTCCACACTGCTCCTTCCCCTTATGAGGCCCAGTATCTTAAAAGCAAAAAGGATGTATGTCTAATTCACAAATTTATCACTTCGCAAAATGATGCATTAAATGAGAGGGGACACGCTCTGATTTGAAATGCTGACTTTAGAAAAGAAGTTCTGATTTTCAAAACGAGTTTAGACGAGCACCCCCGTCACCCCTCACCCACCCTGTCGCCTCCCACGTCCTCTTGCTTTCTCAGTTATATCACTCTCGCTACTTGAGATGGGAGGCCGTGCGGCTCTCTCTTTGTCTGCCGCGCTCTTGCTCTCTCACTTTCTGTCTCACATGCACAGAAAAAAACACATAATGCACGTTTTGTTTAATTCAGCACGTGCTTGCACATGTATGTGTTTTGTGTTTCTGTTTAGACGGCTGCATGCAAATTCATGCTCGCGAATTTATGTAAACATTTGTATTTAAGGTTATGCTCATGTGGGCGACTGCTTACAAATGTCTTTGCTCTCGAGGACAAGGGAGTAGACCATAACAGATTTTATTTTTGTAGACAGTTAAATCACTATCACCATCTTCTGCCTCATCAACGACGTCCGCACATGAGCATTACACCTTGATTTCTTTTTCATAGAAAGCATAAAGTTCAGCTTTGTGAAACAAATTAGATTAATGTCAAAAGATCTACTCTGACCCCTCTTTACATGATTTGATTGACTTATCATTTTATTTTTTCATAAATTCTTGTTTTTTATGTTTTAATCAATTTCTTGTTATTATAATTCATAATCCCGAGTTTGGCATGGATGGGAAAGACGCTCTCTGGAGGATTCTGAGCTCCCCAGAGGCTGAAACCAGATGAGGCGTTTTTTGAACACAGCTCTAACAGCTTTTGAACACAGCTCAACTGGCTGAGAGGCACCGTGGGCTTCCTCTCGACAGGTCAACCTGCCAAGAAAGAAGTTTAAAGAGGAGAGAGAAAAAAATCTGTGTAAAAACGGTGAATGTAAATGTCTTTCAAGAAAGCAGCGATCCCTGGAGATGTGTTAAAACAAGGGCGAGGACTAAAGTGATGACAACTCCATCCGCACGGCCCGCACCGTGGAGGGAAAAAAAGTGAGACACACTCAGTTTTAAGAGTTGCTCACTTGACAGTGTTAATGACAGAGTTAGGCTACTGGTGAAGTCATGAGGGAGAGGAGTCCAAGCTGCATGTAGTGTAGAGTTCTCTCAGTTGGCCAAAAAAATTATACACTCCCTGTTCTTCTCTATTTATCTTTTCCTTTCATGTTTCATACTCACATTTGTCAGCCATGATACATTTGAAATTCAGTAACAATTAAATGAATTGTATGTGACACAATAAATCGCATATGAACACTGATAGTAAACATGATTTTAAATTAAGCTAAAGTAATGATGATGATATAATGATATTTATATAGTAATGTTGAAAAAAGTGTTCCTGTCTTAAATCAGGTCTTTTGTTGAATGTCATCCCACTTCTCTCCCCACATATCACATCTACAATATCTACTTTCAAAATAAAACTAAACTATACTACACCAGGAGTATAAAAGAGCAGCATTTGTCAGCTTCCCTGACATCTTAGTAACCCGTTCATGTTCTTTAAGTTGGATAGCCGAAGCCAATTGTTGCCGTCTTTTCGATGCACCGTGTAGTTGACGGGATGTTCAGTTACCGGGCAGCCGGATTTCTTTTCGGCTACTCACCAGACATGAAGCTGTAAATCAGAGGGAGTCGGTGGTTCAGTGACTGATGGCACGTGGTTGGTGGTTGGCTGCAGGTGTGTCTTGTTAAACACAAGGGATGGAAGGAAAGCAAGAGCAGAAGTGAGAGTGATCTTGGTGTATATGGTCACTTCCCTCAAATGTCCAGGTGCACCGTCACATTGTTGGGAGAGAGGCTGCCTCACTCTCAGTTTCTTTTAATAAAAGTATACACTGAATAAGAGAAAGGAGAAAATCCATATGCATACATATGCATTTTTGGATCAGAATCATGGCTGCTCTTTGGTTTGTGTTGTTTTCCCAATTGATTAGGATGCTAGTATGCTCAGCCTATATATGTGTGTTTGTCTGTGTTCACGATATGTGTGTGTGAATGAGTCCCAGAGGGCACATCATGCACTATGTTGCACACTGTTTCATCCCTCATTGTATATGACTGAAAGACTGCTGTTCCCATCTATGTTTATGCACCCCTCCCTCTTGATCAAAACAAACACTAACTCATTAGATGCAAACACACACACATATGTGCATAGAAACATAGGAGCAGAACACTGAGGCTCAGAGTAGAACAACATCGCTCTGGGTTCATGAGGTGAGGTTTGACAACAGCAGACTGTATCAAAGACGACAGAGGATGATTAAAATCCCCCCAAAATCTTGGACACTGAGATTAAGGCATGTTGAACTGCAGCCCAACAAACACATGCACACCAACACACATCAGCATCCACACATCCATGGGAGTTTCACCTGCGCAGGAGATTAGCACCTCTGCTTGTATCGTATAGATTTGCAAGTATACAGGCAGCTGGTGTTTTCTCAACTTTATCTGAGACAAGAAGAAGTAAAAAAAAAAAAAAAAGAACTACATCACTAGTCTCCATGAACCCACTGGGTATAAAGAACGGTGGGGGAGAGTTTGAAGAGACTGTAAAGGTGAACAGGTGAAAGAGAAAAGCAGACGAATGAAGCTTTGCCTGCCACCTCTCTGCCCTTCGTTGCACCCCCCATCCCTGCATCACCTCACCTCGGGGGTTGAGCAACTGCTCTTGATGAGGGGGGGGGCAAGTGTTCTCTCTGTTCTTTCTCAGTGCCTCTGGGTGTACTACCGACTCTCACTACCCTGGCGATCTCCTGCCGCCTCACACTCTCAGAGTTTCGCACCGCACGGAAACACAAACACACGCAGGAACACACAAGCGCTGTGCGGTATCTGAACCCTCCTCACTCTCTGCTCCCTCT